ATCATTTAATAAGTTTTGACTACTGTGATGACGAAAATCGTTGTCGATAAGAGGACAGACCACGCTAAGCAATTGTGGATTTGTTAAATTACCCTAGGGGGAGTCCCCTGAGGCTCCGTAGTATACTCATGGCTCTCCCTCATTGGAAGCAGACTTTCTATAGTCCCGCCCTTTATATTCTGTTAGGAATGACTAATCCCCCTCCCTCCCCCCCTAAAATCCATGTGATCCTACCCATCACCCTCCCTACCCTACCCTATTCCGCAGGCGAATGACTGGTTCCTTAGGCAAACTAATGTTTTGATGGAATGAAATAGGATATAGTCTAGAGGACAAGTTAAAATCAAAGGCATATGTTCACACATTGTTCTGGCTAATTTAACCTCAACAGTCGTCAACCAACGTTTTTCTCAGATTTCTCTGAAATCCTGTGGTCAAAAGAACCATGAGGTCCTGACTGATAACTACCCATCCCACCTTTCGGGGAGTCATATGGGTTTCTCTTCCTTATAGTATAAAATCTGGCGGGCGCACTTTATCTGTTTTAACAGGTATATATGACGAAACCAAAAGTTGGGATAAAAATAGGTTCTCATTTATACCGTTGTAATAAAATAATACATCAAACGAACAAAAATACATCAGAATTCTTTTTTCTTATGACGGTAGAAAAAATATGTTTAACTTCAAAATCTGATTCTCGATGGTTTTGAGTTTTCACAAAGTTTTGATGGAATGATGCAAAATATAGTGTAGCAGACCGTGAAGTCAAAATCAACATAAATTCACACATTGTTCCGGCTATCGCAACCTCAGCAAACGTACCGTACCTCTCTGATTTTGGTATATTAACATATGCTTCGCCTCTGACCTCGAGGCATGACGAGTTTGAATTTCCTACTGAACCTATTTCCTCAAATAATTAAGGATAGGAAACAAATGAAAACTCAATTCAAGGGCAAATGCCTATAGTCAAGCGGGTGCTCTGGAAGAAGAGACAATTTGTCGCTTTGGAAGATCTGAATAGGGTCATTCCTCGCTAATGATCGAAAGGAGAAATCTTACAACACTCAAAAAAGCAGCCTGCTATCGACCGTGAGATGGTTTCTTGGTCTTCCAGATGTCCCCATTTCAGCTGCTTTACAGGGGCAGTTCTAAATCTTGAAAAGTCTTTGGACCAGCTAGTGAACAGTTTCACCCACGACATAATATTTG